GGATGTGGGTGGTGAGGAAAGAGAGAGGTGATGTGACATGTCACATATGAGAACCATCATCAACAAACATGTGCACAGGATGCATCACATCACATGATGTATCCAAGCACATGCTCATGGGTCATGTGACTCATCAAATGCATCATTCCTGGGACTAGTCCTGTCTGAAAATCCTCAGGACTGTCTCCAGTCCTCAGGAATACACCCCCACAGGACTCAAAAAATTGGCTGGCTCATCAGCCAATATAGAGTCCTGGTAATCCTCAGGAATCCTCAGGAATCCTGCAGGAATCAGTGGGGGACAATAAAGACCTCAAAAGGAGGGCTATTACCATGCTTAAGGATGGAAACGACAGCATCAATTGTGGTATCAACTGAAACATTTGGTTTCATGGGCAACAACCTGAGGGTGGCTTTGATGATGGAGGCATCATCTGGAGAGCTTGATGCCAGAAGTAGAGCCACATTGGCTATTTCTTTGTATTGCTTTTCAGAGTCGGATGTTGATACTGTGCATGTGAGAAACTGTGTTAATTTGCTAACAATAGAAGGATCTGGAGCCTCAAAATTGGGATCAGCTTGGGTTGGGGGGACTAGAGCACCCACAGATTTAGAGGCTCTTGGAGTCGGATCTTCCAGAGCTAATTCAAAATCTTTGGTTTTAATTGACTGCACTGGTTGCTCGACCTTATGGGTGTCCATTGGTAGATCCTCCTTTGTAGGTCCAGATGCACTGATAAGGAAGCAAGATGTAAGATTAGCCAGATTAGATCAAGTACTTGGGTTAGAATCTGTCATTCGCATTGTTGGACTGATCCATGGCCACTCCCCATTGTGTGCAGATTTGAAGCAGGGAAAGTGGCTCTACAACATCTGAGTCTGGTCAGCACTCAGTACATGAATGGAAAGTGATAGCTACCCCATCACGCTTTCAGAGAAGCCAGCTGGGTCAATGCCCACACTTGATCCAATCTTGAGGTGAACAAAGTCCACTTCGAGAAGCTTCATACATGTCATCATGATAGTCTAGGCAGAGCTTGGAGTGTTCCTACATCTTTGTCCGTGGGGGAACCAAAGGGGAAAGGGCTGCAGTTGGGTCTCTCATATCCTTCTAGTGGTGCTGCAACAGCATTCAGCCGTATGTTTGTATCCATGATCCTGACAAGGAAGATTGGGTATGCGTCCTAGAGTCAGATAAGTCTGGAGGGTTGTATATAAAGTGCCGGCAAAAAATACTGCGGGTCACGATTTACCAAAAAGATGAGGCTAGATTATTAATTTATGGGGGTAAATAAACACCTTTTTTGTTCTCAAGTTAATGAGGAGGTTCTTCTGCATAAGACACCATAATGTTGTGTAGTTCCTCGAACGAGGAGAAAAGTTACAGAGAGTTTGTTCCTGAGTGCCCAAAAATAGACTGTAATATTACCTCATCACATTTGAGAATCGTGGCACAGTGCGACAACACTTCCTCGAAACCACATCATTTCCATCCAAACTCGCAGAAAGTCTATGACTAAAGCCACACCAACAAAGCGGGCACGGATCGTCTGCCTGCGAGAGCGGAATGTCCCCATTAAGGACATTGCCCAAGAACTCAGTCTCAGCGAGGACACAGTCCGCCGCACATTCAACAAATACCATGAGAGCCACAACTTTTACTATACCCCACCATGTCCAGGTCGTCCCAGAAAGTTATCCAAGCGCGACACACACCTTGCCGTTTGGAAGATTCGGATGGGGGTATATCCTGATGCATCCAAGCTACAACGTGACCTGTTCCCAACCCTCTCTGTCCGGACTGTGTGCAACGTCCTCATCCATGAAGGCCTACATGGCCGCCGTCGTCGCCAACACTATTTCCTCACACCAACTCACGTTAAGAAGCGACTGGCATGGTATTTACTCCATCAGAACTGGACC